TGTGGTGTTAAAACCCCAAAGGTGTACAGATGTTGTTTTGAAGTACGTGTGCATTTGAATTCTCAAAGGCCGTGTGGTATATCTAGATTCAGCAGATGATAACTAGAAGTAAACTACAATCTTTTTCAAATTGGCAAGTTTGTAATTTTTGTGTATGTGTCAGACATTTTAGTTATGGTGAAAATCAGTGGGAAGGTAGGAGCCACTATCTTGAAGCATCTGGAAGAGCTGGTCTTGCATCTCAGGTTTCAGCAGGGCTCTCCTGTTAGATGTGTGGTGCAGAAAACAGGGTTTAATTGTTCCTTAAGGTGGTAGGTTGTGCCTGCCTCCAACCATCTGTTCCTTGCCTGCCATTTGCTCTTCAGTTCCCAAGGGGATGCTTCCTTCCTTTTCTGCGCTGCTTGGGCAGTAGTTATCAGTTCTCTTCTCTGCCCTGATGTAATGCTGGGGCCAAGTAAGCTTTTCACTAGAGGAGACAATTTAGGTTACCACAGGAGGAATGTTCTTGCCTTCCTGTCCATGCTGTTTGCGTGCTAGAAACGTGCTTTCATTTTGTAGGAAATTTTAGCACTGTAGAGTTGGCAAGATAAATACACATGGATATTGGTAAATTGCTGCTTCAGATCACCTATCACTGAGCCAAACAAGTAGAATTAGATAGTATTTTAATTCTTAGGCCTTCTGCGGAAGGCAAATAATAGGAGTATAAAGTCTGGCTTGGCAAATGTAGTCATTAAACTTCATTGACTTCAGTAACATCCAGCACGTGATGGCAGAAATACGAATAATTCATTTATTCACAGAGCTTCGTAGCAGTTGATCTGTCAGTCTGCGCACACCAAATACAAAAAAGATAGACTGATTAATAATTGGTGTTTGATATTACAAACACTGATGGATGTAATGTTTCTGGGTAGGTAAGGAAGCTTGTGTACCACTGTAGCTGCCAGCTTCTTGTGACCTACAGGAAAACACCATTTTTGTTATCCAGAAGTAGCAAGGAGGTGTTGACTGTCTTGGTTTTCCAGCACAATCCTGTTACACAAATTTATGTTTATCTCTGCCTCAAAAAAAAATTCATACTGGGAAGTTGCTCTAGGAAAAGCATCTTAAGTTAGCTGCTCAGTATTTCTATCTTATTTAGGTGGTCTTAAAATTGAGAACGAAACCTACGTCTGAAACTGTTGGCATAGCAATAGTTCTGCAGAACTGCGCTCATCTGTCACCTCTCTCAGATATGTTTCATCTGGCAGCTGTTTATTCCACACTGCTACGACAGTAGGAGGGGAATTTGGTCCCGCTCCTAGTAATTTGTTTGGAACTTGAAAAGCTATTAGTGCTCTGATGGCATGGATCATGGCGACTGCAGTATTTTAAAGGTGCCCAAACATTGAAATGTACGAACCTTAAGCTGTCTTCTGCTGTAATAAGCGTTCCACAGCACGCAGGGTGGAGTCTCAGATGCAAAACCAAACTGTACTGAGAAGCTAATGTATAGGCAACTGTCTTCCTGGTGGTCTTGAAACAAACTGTGAGTGAAGTAAAAGTGAATGCTGTGTTTGCTAGTTGAAAGTCGCATCCATCGGAGGATCTTGTTGAGGTGTAAATAATCCTATACAGAAAGCACAAAGGAGAGTGAGAATGAATATCCTTTTGCTTATCACCAGGATCTTGAATATCCTTGAAGGTAAGGATGTAGCAGCTTTTCAGTTAATTCAGATTATACTTCAGAGAGGGTTTGTAAGTTTTAATTCCTTTTCCCTGGATCATTATGTAAGACTAGGCTCTTTATAATTAGTTTAATCCCCGATTAGGCTTGTGTGCACTAGATAATGTATTTCCCAAGGCAAAGCATATAAGGCTAGTTTGCCCAAATGTCTGTTTTAAAAAATCTATAGATTGCAGAAGACTAAAAAGACTTTGAATTTCTTTATAATACAGCAGAATGCGACTTAAATTATATTGAATCTGAGTTTCATGGGATGCAGAAATCATACTATAACTTGCAGGTTCTTTGCTTCTTGGTAAGGGAATTTCATTTTTTGGGTAATGTAATTTCTAGTAGTAAATGTATGTTAAGATTGAGGATGTTGGAGAACTTCATGAGAAAATTTTCCATTTTCTAGGAAAAGTAACATCTGCCAAACATGATACTGTTAAGTTTTGGGGTTTTTTTGACAGCTTTGTATTTTAACCAAACGAACACACCTAAAATTGTGAAAAGGTAGCACAGTAGTTAAAGTTACATAGCTAAGAAAACACAGGCAAGTGTTGCTTGTAAGCAGTCTTCTAATTTAATTATCTGAAGTGTTTTAAGCAATCAGTACAGTTTTTTAAAGATAATATTTTGTCTTCCCCTAATTAAGAATAAATGAGCAAGCACCCTTCCCAGAGAACTGAAAGGTCTTCTTTTCAAGTTTAATTTGCAGCACTTAGTGGAGGATTAAAGTAATCTCATTAAATGGCCTCATTTAAATTTTGCAGTCACCTAAGAGATGGTAGACAGATGTGAAAAGGGAATTATCCATAAAGCATGAAAGTTAAATTAGCAGCTTTCTAATTTAACTTTTTTAATTTGGAAGGTTTCTTTATGAGACTTGAGTCTTAGAGTTGGGATATCTTTTGATGGGTCTGCAGGATGGTGCTTGCTGTCAGTGAATGCATCATGATGTTAAAGGCCATTTTTTATGCATGGAGTTATGAAAAAAAAAGGGTGTACTTTATTGCCTTTATTGTATATATTTGACATAAAGTAAGTATCTTTGAGGTTGACATTTGATCTTAGAGCATAGTAATTTTTTTCATTTGCAAGGTATACAGGTAGACTGTAGGGAAGTTTCTGTTTTTTGTGGGTACAGATACATGAATGAGATGCTGTGAATGCTTTTCTTGATGGGTGATGTTGGTCATAGTGTTTTTGAGATAAATCTAACATTAGACACCTCATCCACACACAGGCATATATTGGGCATAATGACTTAAATATTTTGCTGTTGCTGGGGGGAAATACTCGTGTGCTTCTTTGTACGCCTAGGTGAGGGTTATGTCTGCAGTGTGCAGAAATTCACTTAGTATTTGAAAAATCTGGATTTGTGTGTTTCTAAATAGAAATGTGCTCTAGCAGTTGTAGGATGTGGATTCTGATATTTTCACTTTAGGGTTATGAGCCCCTAAAATGCCATGTCTCTGTTTTTCTTTTGTATCTTTTCAATGTAGACCTACTTCCAGAAGTACAGCTCTGGGGCATCCTATTAATTTACAAAATCCTAAGGGGACTTCAGTTTGCATGAATTTAATGCCACTTTGATTTTATCTTAAGTGTTTCTTAGTGAGGTATTGCAACTTGGGGAGTGACTCACTTTAAGGTAATGCTTGCTGTGGTTACACAAGATATTTCCTGCACCTTAAGTATAATGTTACTTGCTATGTGTTGATTCTCATCATGATTGCCATCTTTTAAAAATTTTCATGGGTTTTTTCAGTCCTGCCACCTGTGTGTAGGTCTGTGAAAAGAGAAACATGGATAGTAGTTTCAGGGAATAACGTAAGAATAACTGAAATTCTGTGTCTTGATGCCACTGTAAGACCAGTGGGTGGAACTGACAAAAACATAAAAGCCAGCTTAGCAAAAGCAAGGTGCCCTCTTACAGCTGTCTTGAAAAAACAGAAACCTGGTCTTGCAAATACAGAATTTAACACTTGAGTAAACCTTGTCTAAAGATACAACGTTGAAACTTGGAGACTTCTCAAGACCTTATTGTCTGAACTGCAAGTCTTTAAAGTAGCATTTAGACAAGGTGTTCATATTGTATAGCCAGGAAAAAAACCAGATTAAATGCTATACAAAAGGGTGATACGGGCGTAGTTAGTTGTCCAAATAGTAGGATGGATATGTGGATGAGTGTGGAAGAAACAAAAGGCAGGGTATCAAAGCAGTGATCATTTTCTCAAGGCAAAAATTTTTGAGGCAAAGATATGTCTGTAAAGCAGATATGGCTTTATAAAATAAGTGTGATATAAAATAGAACGAAATGATGTGACTATAAGTTGAGATAGAACAAATCTTTATTAAAGCGTGTAGTGGAGTTCCCTGTATTGCAAATCAGGTGAATGGGACCAAAATTCAAGATACAAGGGAATGCAATGTTATAATTATCTTTTTATCTCATACATTTATGGCTAGGGTTATGTCTTCACGTATCACTGCACAGAAGTAAAACTTTTGAATTCACTTTCTAACACTGACCTTATGCAACTGTTGCCCTGTACCTCAAGTCCTGTACATCACTAAGATGATGACCAAAATTGACTACAATTTGCATACAAAGAGGGGAAAAAAGATGGCTTGGAATTTTCATCTTGAATTGGGCATATCAGTAAGATCTGGAAAAAAAAAATGCTGTGGTAAATGTGGATGATGAGTGATTATTTTGTATCACATAACACAGACATTGGGGAAACTGAAAAAGATTTTTTTAAAAAAATTAGCTCTTAGTCAAGATTTTACATTATAGTTTTTGCAGTTTTACGTTGCTGACTGCAGGCTTGTGCTAGGTTCAATTTGTGGGATTTTTTTAAATATGAAGTCTTAAGCATGTAATTTAATAATTGTAATACACGTGAAAAAGTCAGTTTTCTGCTCAAAATAGGTAAATGGAAAAAAAAAATCCCAACCCTTTTTAAAGCTTTATTTTATAGATTTCAAAAGGAAGGAAAAAAAAAAAACCCAAACCCCTAGTTTATCTAGAGAATGGAAGTTGAGGGAGGGAGGTGTGACCTGAATAACACGTTACAGCCAAATAACTGCTGGTGACAGGTATTTGGAGTTGACAAAATTTGTGTGAATTACTTTGTATGATCATCGTATAGTTAAGCACAGGAATGTAGTACACATAGATGCAAACGTATATAAAATTATGTGTGGTTAATTCAGATCTAATATACTCTTTTCTTTTCCTTAGATTCAAGCACCCTATAAGGACCAATGTACCCAATAGCTCATGGAAGAAAAAAATCAAATCAGGACATCCTTGGTTTCCAGGCTACCGAAATATGGAACGAAAACTTTAGGAAGTGTCTTGCAACCTATGCCAAATGGGACGGCTGTTAGTTTGGCAGGGAATAATGGTGGCAAAAACTTCGGCAAGCACAATGGCGCTGTTCGCATGTCTTCCTTTTCTTTCAACTGGAAAAAATCAAACAAATATCAACTTCACGATCAAAATGGGAGAGAGACCAATTCTAAACATAACTGTAATGAAAAATTAATTGATTCTGAGAAGCATTCTCAATCTCAAGGAGCGTTGGGTAATGATGTGCTCAGGGTGGGTTTGAACAGTACTGCTTCGGTTGCATCAAAAGCAGCAAAGCAAACCAATATGTTTGTATCTTCTACTGAGGAATTAAACCCAAAGTCTTTGCCTGGACTCTCTAGTTCAGCAAAATTCGCCAAAGGTACCCTGTCAGGAAGGACCTCATATTCTGGACTCAGTGCTCCAAAATCACATTTAAATGGATTTTATGGAAATAGGCCGGTGGTAGGTTTGCAGAGACCTAGAGCGAACTCCAGTGCCACAAGGACAAGTTCAGGAGAAAGCCTGGCACAATCTACAGACAGCAAGGCTTTTTCCTGTGAAAAAATGGTAAGATCACAAAGTTTTTCACATTCCATTCAGAATTCTTTCCTTCCCACTGCATCTTTAACCAGGTCACATTCCTTTAATAAAGCTGTGGATCTTACAAGGCCTTATCATAGTCAAAATCTAGCTGCCAGGACATCTCAGAGGTCAACTTTGTTGTCAAGAAATGCATGTCAGTTGGATGTACCCAATGGAAATGAACCTACGAAGTATGGATTTACCAGGCCCTACTCTGGTATGTCGGCTCCTTGTTCGAAGAAGCCCCCGCTGTCAAATGGATCTGGGTCAGCACCTTCTTTTGGATACAGATTAAGTCGGCCTTCTCTGCTGAAGCCTACCAGGCAGCGATTTGCTGGAAATATCATTGTGGATGGCAGCAAAAGTACAACTCCTGACATGTGCATTGTGGAGAACTCTGAAATTTCAACAAATATTAATAGAGTAATTGAGAAAAACAGTATTCTAGAGAGCAATGCTCAAAGAACAGAATCTGATGAGGGCCTGCATGAAAGTATGGGAAAGCATGGGTCAAAAGTCATGTGTATGAGCGATGATGGAGATGAAATATCTATATCTTCTTTGTCATCCTCTGAAAAAAATGATTTGAGTGAAGATTTCAGTGATGATTTCATAGATATAGAAGACCCAAACAGAACTATACAAATACAGCAAAAGGAGAGCTGCCTTCAAGAGTTAGAGCACGGGAGCATAACATCCATCGAGCCGTTCACGTCTCTCAAGGAAACTGGAGGATCTTGCTGTAATGCTGATGACTGGCTTGATATAAACGTGTCTGGTAAATACTTTGTTATGTTCTGTTTGAAATTTTAGGTACTAAATCAAGATTCTGTAACTGTAAGTTGTTTTATATAATGACCCATTGTCTGTGAATTGTTTCAGAATGAAACTCTGATCTAGGCTGGCCCGTTTATTTTCTTACAGTGCTTTTTCTGCATGATAGTTATCCTTCCCAGGCATGACTTTGAAGAGCTGCTTTTTTTTTTTGGGATAAGAATGAATGATACCTCCTTTAACCACACTTGTGGTAGGGTTGTGGGATTCCTCATATCCTTGCTTTGTCATTAATTTCTCTGGACTGGTGATCTTTTAAGAAAATTTCTTCCCCCATGACCTCCCCCTCCCGCCCCCCAGCACAGAACAGATGTAACTGCTCCTAAGTAGTGGAAATAAGTGTAGGGTGTCCAATTAAGTCAGTTAATTTATAAATATGAGTGTCACTGTTTTTTGGTTTTTTTTCCAGAGGCATGCTATATTAATTCTTTAAAAATTAGTGGAAGAGACAGAAGATGTTTTTAAAAGCCACATTTTCAAGTCGTTGATGGGCTTCTCATCATGCTTGTGTTGAGAGAAGTTGCAGTTGAAAGTTTGGATCCAAAGGGTCTAGTTTTGGACCCACCTTCTAATATGTTAAAAAGATACAGAATTCTGGAAATTAACTTTCTTGATGAGTGAATTAGTGCAGCATAAAAGGCTAGCAAAGATGTAGCTTGGAAGGATACTTAGTTGTAGCTACCAAAGCAGCTTGAGCTGTTTTCCTGTCTAGGATGAGTGAACAATACCATAGAATGCTTTCAGGTATTTCTGTTACAGTACAGTTTCCAAAAAGTTTCAGAAAAACCAAATATACACATCTTAATTTTTATTTTTGGCATATTGGATTGGTTTTGGAATCTTGACTATTCCTGTTTCCTTTAAGCAGTGGATGACAACAGTGAAAGCACAAAACATACTGCCGAGAGTGCGATTTCTCCAGAGATGAATTACAGAGCTGGGTCCTCTTTTGAGCTTTCTCCATCTGACAGCTCTGATGGCACATATATGTGGGATGAAGAAGGCTTGGAACCTATTGGAAGTGTCCATCCATGTGGAAGTTACGAATCTTCAGAAATGAACAGCATAGTATGTATTTATATGCATAACTTGCATAATTATAGTGTTTTGAGTTTATTGCTTATTAGCTATTTTTTAAAAAAACAGAATTAATGTGTTTTTTACTTGATAATTGTTTCCTTGTTCCTCTGTAGTTGATAGCTTTTTGAAACTTCTTGTTTAGGAACTCCTGTTTCTGGGCAGGTGACTTTAATTAGGCTGTTAACATGCTTTTTTTTTTTTTTTTTTTTCACCTTATTCTCAAGTTAGGACAGAACAGGTCCTTCCTTATGCACTCTCATGGTAGTATTCATAAAGAGTCAAGGAATTACTTTCTGCAAATGATAGGTTAAGTATCTTCTACCAATCTCTAAACCTAGGAGTGAAAAAGCAAGAAAATAGCTATCACTTATGTGACTTCTTCCATTGTCTTGTTTTTGTACTGTACACGTACAGGACCCTGTTGAACCAAAGTTTATTTTGATTTCTCAGTTTGCTCAAGCATAGAATCTTTAAGGTAGATGCCTGACTGTAGCTCACTGTAGCAGGACTCTGTCTCAAATGCGATATACAGGATGCATAACAACCTTTTCTTCCTGTGAAACTTAAACTGATCTCCAAGAAACATCATTCAATCTGAAGAGTGGATGGAGAGTTGTTGCAGTGCTGTGACCCTCCAGCTGAGGTCAGGGAGCCAACCTTGGGATTTCGGTGGGCTTGAGGAAAATACTGTCTGTGTGTCCTTCATCCGTCTTCATACTCATTTATTGAACAGTCTTTTGAATTAGGCAGCTCTGGTTTTGTTAACACGATGCTAACCATCAGAACATCTAACAAAAAGAATTTGGTATTATCTATGTGCCATGCTCCATGTGTTTCGGGTGTATTAGATACTGCGTCACCACTGCCGGTTTGGTAATGTAGATACCAGTTTCGGACTTGAGCAGGGTTTGTGGTGCCTGCTCACACTTTGACTTGTGATTTTATTAGGGTTGTCTGCTCTGGCCCAAGAGCAGAACAGCAGAGATTTCTGCTGAAAATTTGGCATAGCTGTGTAATTATATTTTTTTTATGTGTAACTACATACAAATTCCTGATATATTTTCAGCTGCTTGTGGCATTGCTTGCTTTCTGTCTTCAATTATGATATTGGGATGTAGTGCTTAAGAGTTTAGAAATGGTTATTAACTTTTCATAGTAATTATGGCCAGCTTGGAAAAGAGGTTTGAGACTTTCCAAAGACGAGCTTTGTAGCTTTACTGGTGTTTATAGGGGGACAGAATAGTTTAACATAAGCCACTGCAAAAACAAACACCCTTTTTCCCCAGACACATGCATGCGTGTGCCAGCAAAAAGAAGTTATTGAACTTTGTCCTTCATAAATTTTAAATATAGATATTTTTGATACATACAGTGTAATTTATCAAACAAATGAAATTACTTTCCTATGCTTTTGGACCATGTATCTAGGGTTTTGATACATGACCTCCTATGCATTAATTTGTGCATGTCTATGAACTGATAAGTCAATCAGTGTTCTGATTGACAGAAGCTCTTGTAAGCCTTGTGGAGCAGAGGTGCAGTAGAAGCTTTTGATATCACTACTTTGGTTTATTTCTTCCTTTATTGAAAGTAAATAGCTTTTAGAGAGGACTTAAAGGAAGAATGAACTTACGAGGTTTTGAGGAAGTGGAGAAAGGAGGAGGTTGTAAATAGGACTTACTGTAGAAAGTCATGGGTGTTATCTACCCATTTTGATTTTTATCCTGTTAGTGCTTTTTCCAAATTACGGTGCTTACTGTACTGTGAATTTTTAATCTTAAATGAGAGAAATATCAATAATACATCTTTTATTTTTACAAGACAGAAATATATTTTCAGTCAGCTTGGTTTTTGAGGGGAAATTGTAGCTCTGAAATGTTTGTTGAATTGCCTTTTAGTGGTGTTTTTGTGTGGTAGTGTTTTGTTTGGTTGGTATTTTTCCCTGTGCTTGTTGGTTTTGGTAGAAAGCATGATATATTTGATTTCTTTAGCCTCAAGAGTAAACACTGATTGTTTTTAATCAGAAGATGCAGGAGAATTTCTGAATATGGTTTTCCATTATTTCTGAATAGTGATGTTCTTGGGCAGGTTAATGTAAGCTTTTGTTCCGTGTTTTTCCCTTTTCTCTGCAGGCAATGAGTATAAAGACAGGTTGAAAAAAAAAAAAATAGCTGAAGGCATTGAGAATAATTATTGTGATTAGTCAGCACATCAGATGTTTTGATCGCTGGGGGATATATGATCAAATTATGTGCTTTCTATCCTCTCGTGTGGTGAGGGTAAAAGCAGCTAATATCTGTGTGTCAAAGTCCAGTTGATGAGAGTCAGATTTAAGAGTTTTGAGTGCTTGAGCTAATGCCAGCCTGACTGCCCCTTGGTATTAATATTTCCAGGGAAATCTCCAAAGCAGATAGCTGGTTCTGGAGTTTCCGTAGCATCAGGCTGGGGTGAGTAGAAGCCATGTAGCTGCCTAACAGTTCAGGTAATTAAATGGTAATTGGTAGTGTTTAGTGCAAACTTCGCCTGTGTTTATTTCCATCCTGCTATTGTATTGTTAGGCTTTTAAGCTGTATCATCCTTAGTATCAACAAATATAACATGCTTTTCCTAAACTTCTCTATAGATGGCAGTGCAGCTCTTTTTGGGTAATCTTAGATGAGAAGTGTTTTGACCATCTTTGAAAAGGCAACTTTCGCAGAGGGGTTTTTAGCCAGGCTTCTGGAATGGCAGCCAGGATAGGAAGACAGTGGAAGGAGCTTGCTGGCTGCTCAATCTTTTTGTTCCCTTCTGGAGAGAAGAAAAGCCGGTATCTTTGCTAGTCTCAGTAGAGCTTGGTTTTAAGGACTTGAAGGGGAGGGGGGGGGGGAGAAATTTGGCCTCTTTTAGGACATGTCTGTTCTTCACTGACTGAGCCAACAGCCTTGGAGAAAATGTGCAATCCAGTGTTGGAGGTTTAAAAGTTACAGAAATCTAAATAACCTCTCGTAAGACGATGCCATGGGGACTTACAGCTAAATAGGACGTGCTTTTTTTTTTTTTTTTTTTTGAGACCTTGTCAGGTTGAAAATGTTTTTTATTCTCTAATTGTATAACAAAATAATTTATTCCACTATCCCTACTTTTATTTCATTTCCAGTTTTGAAGGCAACAAATCAATTGGTTAACATTCTAAGTTAGAATTGAACTCCCTTCAATTTTAAATCTTCATTTCATTGGTATTCCTTCCGTTCCTTTCAAGAATTGTTCTTTGCTGCTAAGCACCAAATCACTGATGCTATTTCCGCTCAATTCTGTGCGAGAAGGCTGATGGTTAGCAGAGCAGTTGTGATGGCTCTGTAAATTACCAACATAGACAGTATTTGTCTATATGTACTCTCATTTAATGTTCAGCTGTACTATTTGTTCATGCTGTGTGTTTCAGCTACCTACTTTAACACCCGGCTGCTTTCCTGTTTCATGGCAGAAAGCTGCTCTACAATGTGAGGTACAACTTGTGCTATGTTTTGATTGTGGTTTGGGGTTTTTTAGGGGGGGGGTTGTTTGTTTTTTAAGACAGGCTTTTATCAGTTCTGTTGCTAGCTTTAGGTCAGGCACCAAGATAAGGGTTGTAATGAAAATGGCTCTTCATTTCTCTGCCACTGAGTAAGTAGTTATAAATTAATCTTAGATTACAGTTATTTAAAAACAAAAAAGCCTTGCAAACAAAAATAAGAGTTAGGTTACAAAAGTAAGGGAAAAACCCCAACCAAACAACAAACCTTAATGCACATCCACACATTTGCTGTGTCTCTAGGTTTGAATTGTGCTCATGATTGTACCCTAACTGTCTTCATTAAACAAAAAACTTTACAATTTACAGAGCCAAGCTGAAACAAGGACTTTTAAGAGCTCTTAGTTCCTATAGATGAATTCTGTTTCATAGGAGGGGGAGGTTGTATTAGTGGTTTGCTTGCTTGTGCATATTCAGTTAGCAGCTGAGAGGGTTAGCATTCCTTCAGTAGAAGTCTGGTAGTTACACGTCTGAAGGACTGAATGTCTGATTTCTACAAGGATCTTTGAAATAGCTGCTTGGGACTGAAGTCATTTTACTTCAGAGTGCAGGAAACATAAATATGGGTTTTTTTTCCTATTTATTGGAATGATTACTTGAACTATAGTCTGGTATATCAACCTTGCTACACTTTTGCTTTCATTAATTTTTATCTGGAAATCCTGTTCAACATACAAACAAGCAATGTAGCCTAAAACATGCATCCTAACTGGAGTCTCATCTCTTTGCTTAACCGATAATGAAGCACTCCTTTGCTGTAGCAAGGTTGGAGCTGTTTTGTTTTCTTCTGCCCACTGTATTAAGTAGACCCATGAGGAACAAGCTTTAATATGTGTTTGTTCTGAGTGAAGCTTTGAATATTTTTGGAAAGTCAAAGTTCTTATTTACATTAAGAATAGGATAGATAATACAGTTGTTATTGTGTGTATTGTCTGGAGATACGTGCTTTTTTTAAAGACACTGCGTTACTTTAGTGCATAATAGTCTGCGAGAAGTAAAAATTAAAACTGAAAATATTCTGCTAGCTTTGGCTTCTTTCTTTAATACTCTCTAGATAACAAGTTGTTGTGGTGGGGGTTTGTTGGTTGGTTTGTTGTTGTTTTTTTTTTTAAAGCTATTTCATTTGGGGAAATAGGTTTAGGCAGGAAACTTCTATGAGTGTTCCCTGTATTATCAGGTCATATCAAGACCCTATCTTGGAAAAAGACAAAAGCGATTGAGTCGTCTGACCCCATTTTACTGTAGGCTCTAGTAACGATATGAATGTTTGTGCGGAGTTAATTTTTACTGAAACAAAGCAAGCCAGTGTTTTGGGCATATACAGAGTGAGCATCAATGTAATTATCAGGATATAGGATTATGGAATAATAGTTGAAATCTGGCTTGAAGAGACAGATGGGTTTTAGCTGCTTTGCTGAGAATTTAATTGCTCTTGGGA